CCCAGCACTCACAGCTGTGAGCAAAGCGAGAGCAAATTGTAACGTGCAGGGATTAGATGAGGAGAAAGGAGCTTGCGAGTGTACGGCGCCTAGTTGGGTGGGAGAGTGGAGTGAAGAGGAAGGGCTGAAGACCTTGTATAAGAATGACGGAGACGAATTCTGCAGCAGTACTACGCTCGCTCGCGACGTGGGCAGAGGCGTGAGTATCGTCACGGCGTTATATGATAGAGGTATATTGGTGGCGAAGGGATGAGGACGACGCGCAAAACTCAACCAATGTGGACGGAGCGAGGCACCGATGTGTCCACACGTGCTATGATGAACATGGTTTCTTTGTGAGGGTTTGCAAGACCAAATGAATATCTTATTGCAACAAGCGCGATGTTAATCGGAGTTGCAAAGTGGTCTACAGCTTAAGCAGGTGGCTCTGTCGCGCGTTGTATCTTGGGGGTAGAAGGACCCAGAATGGGTGGCTTTTGCGAGTTTCCATTGTCGCCAACTCCCTACCCAGGTACTCCTCAATATGTAGGAGGAGTACTCAAAAGCACTGTGGCCAGGACCGTACTTTCAAGTCGTCGTCACAAGGACATCGCAACCGAAATCCTGACGAAGAATAGAGAGATGAGCAGCCGTTGAGTAGTTACTTTCTTAGTGCGGTTTCATCGTCAATGCTGTCTGTTCATGTCACCACCCGAGAGTGATGAGACCGTGCGAGTATGGACCAGTGCATGCATGTTGGTGTCACGCAAGGAATAGTGTCATAGCTCCATAGTCACATTTCAGCGCATCATGTATAAGATGAGGAAGGATGCTTTGAGCTACTATGTCTAATGATTGGCCTATATGATGTAGCTACGAAAGGTTTGCCTACAGTTCGCTTTCCTCAGGCCCGGCACAATCTTCCGTTCTGAGTCTGAACACCCTGTTCTCCGTCTTGAACCACCCACCTCTCACTTCCAACGGCAGTGGTCGCGTAGAAGACATCGGTCGGGTCCCACTTCTTCTTGATCTCGCTCAGCTTGGGGTAATAACCCGCATAAAATGACTCCTGCCAGTCAGGCTCATCCACGCTTGCTTCGTTGAGATATGTACCACCACCCTCTGATACAGGTGCTATGTCGCGCCAAGGCTGCAAAATATTCTCGTGGAGATCTTTACTGGCGGCGGCAAGGGCTTCAGGGGTAGAGTGGTCGGCTGATCGGTTGGAAGAGGTCACCATGAACAAAGCACATTCACGCCAGGCTGGGCTGACGGCATTGTTCGTGTTTGCATACTTTTTTGGTGCCTTGTGATATCCCAAGAAGTGCTTGCCGGACAACACGTGCTCCTTGATGAGCGCAAATGTCTCGTCATACTTCTCCAAGAAGTTGCGTCTGGGAACAATTCGATTCGCGGGCATTGAGCTGTCCGAACCGACACCAAAGGGTACACGTCCCCATGTTGCTTGATAAGCAGAGTAGAATGTGTTATGCGCGATAGGTGCTTCGGGTACCGTGAGAGTGATGTTGCTGTCCTGGAGGTATTGGAAGAAGGGCTTTACGAGCTCGGTATATGATTCCATAGTGTGGTTGGGCGCGATCAGGAATCCCATTCGTAGGTATGGGGCCGGTGTTGCCCCCATGAAGTAGAAACTGTATATTCCCGCGTCCGCCCAGTCAAGGAAGACGTCATAGAACTTCTTCGTACCCGCCCAGAAGGCATCGACGCTGTTGTTCGAAGCATCAAGGGTCCAACTCGATGTGACAGAGTTGAGCTTAGGATGCGCTCGAATGATGACAGATGTGACGACGGCGAAAGTTCCGCCGCCGCCGCCTCTAAGCGCCCAGAATAGATCAGCGTTTGAAGCTTCAGAGACAGTGATAAAGCGACCAGCCGCAGTGACGACCTGGAAAGCGACGACGTGATCGGCCGACATCCCGTAGATGCCAGCAAGAGGATTTTGTCCTCCTCCGGTTATCATGCCACCAGCATATCCAACACTCTATTTTGCATTAGCTCCATTGTTCGCTTGATGGTAGAGCGAAGTCACTTACCGCGGCTATCGCGCCCAATACGGTCACGCCGTTCTTGTCCGCGGCTTCATACACTTGCCGCACATTGACACCCGCAGAAAGCTTGAGCGCAGGTCCCGAGTACCCCGGGCCTTCGTACTGAGACATAAAGTCGATCTGGTCCATGTTGTGCATCCATAGACTCAATGCTCCAGCGCCAGTTGACTTTCCAAGATAGCAGTGGCCCGTGTTCTTGATGACAAGACGCATGTTGGTGGCACGCGCAAAGTTGATTGCAAGCTGGATCTGTGCCACATTAGTGACCTTGACCGCGTATTCTGGGTATGCACCCAGAGTGCATGTTTCGCCGGTGGTTGCGTTGTCAGGCATACATGTCCTGCCCTGATAGATCGGCCACATATCTGGAGATCACCATTAATCTACGCCTCGAAGTCTGTTAAAGGAGATAGCTTACTTGATGTGGGATCAGCAGAATGGAAAAGCGGACTTGTGAAATTGTTGATAACATCCGAGCACGCTGCGGCATCTTTCTTTCCCCATCTCGTGTCGTAACACGATGCCGCAATTGGCTTGGTTGGGATCAATGCTCCGCCGAGGAGCACGTCGAACATGTGCCAGGTGGTGTCTTTCGGCCAAGCGTCGTCTCCGGGAAACGTCTTGCAAGACGCTGAATAGGCAGGAGCATCGCTATCACCAAATTTGAAGTATTTGGCATAGTTTGATGTGGCTTCTTCTGTTTCCAGGCGTTCGATCACTTCATCAGTCAATTGGAGTTTCTCCGCTGCCTGTAAAGATGCTCCTGCTGCCGGCGTATTTGGAACGGTAGCAGCTGCAGGCTCGATACCATCCACGGCGGATGCTTGGACGAGTGTAAGCAATGGCGAGAGAGCCAAGAGTAGTGTCGTTGACCGCTGCATAGCGTACATGGCGACTTGAAAAGCGAAGACGAAGTGGATGGGGCTGGTAATGGTCCAACATTGAGCTGCTCGACCTTTTATCTTGTATCCTTTAGCCGGTTGATGCCTATCTCTCTGGCTCATTCTCAGTGGGCTTTCAGTACATGATTCGCGTGTCACTGCTCTAGATTCTGACAAGACGTAGTTTTTGACTATCATGTTACCCAAGAGGAAGGCCCAACAAAGTCATGCACATGTATACAGACGCAGGGACTGCAGGAATAAGACAGCGGTCGGTTTGATATACGATTCGTCAGTCGCAAAAGAAAAGAACACGGAGACAGTCTCCCTTGTAGCTTTGCTGATTTGCCGCTTGCACGGCCTGGTATGCGGCATTGGCAAGCCCCAATCATACCTCAACTTTCAGGGGGCGGCACGCCCGCTTCCCCCGGGGCCGAGCCCGCCCCACTTATTGTGCTTACCTAGGGAGCCCTTACTCTAGAGCCTTGGCACTGAATCCTACGTTTGCACCTTTGCCGCTCTGTTGCACAAGCGGCAATCCGCGGACCAATGTCAGCGACCTTCGTTGATTTTGGGAATAGATTAGAGCATTGCGAATCCTTTGCATTGCCGCCTCATCCGAAATTGAGGGGCACTCCCAAAGCGAGGTCTGGCACCTTCGTGCTTTGGTCAATGCAGGTGGCTTACCTACTTCTCGCATCTGTCGACAGCTCACGAGGCGACATAAGCTGGGCTTGTGACTAATGCAGCTGTCGAAAAGATTGTTTGTGCTGTTGGATGCTGAGGTTTGAAGGTGGCAACATATTGGGTTCCCCGTCCGTACCCATGCCCAGATTTGGAGCTTTGTCTTTATGGGATGTGGCACGGTAAACGGGACGGGACCATGGACCGCTCGCCAATATCGACACCCGACGTTTTGGAGCGTATCACACATGTGATGAACATGAAAGAATGTCGGATTGCGGCGTCATGAAACTCTTCTTAGGGTACGCGAGCGCCATCTATAAGATTACCTACACTCCTATACAATTAAATTCCGTTCAACTCTGCCGAGGACAGACTTTCACGCCACTGTAGCCCTTCGAGGTGAACTCGTGATCTTCCTCTTCGCGCAGCATGGCAGGTACAGGCCTTCAATCAGTCAACATCTTCCTCATAATTTTCCCTTTCCTAGTGTCCTTCTTGGTTGTATCTATCAGAATATGGAGAAAGATCAAGGAGCGTACCTATGCTATCGGTTGGTGATATCCTTTCCTACGAAACTAAACTTACGCTAACAAAACTGCTCTAGAGGATACACTCTTGGTAGTAGCAGAGGCTATACTGGTAGCACTCACAGCCACTATGTGGAAGTGTACGTTCGAAATGCTCTGTACACCTCTACCATCTGACCCAATTCAGTCATTCTGGTGTCTTACGCAGGATACCATTCGGCCGATATTCCCGAGGGAGCCCCGCATAAGTCAGACGTCGGTTTTGTATGGTCAACTATATAATACTTAGGCGTCAACTCTGGTACTGACAACCATCCTCATAGTGGCGACATACGAACAACGTCATCTACAACCCCATTCTAGGTCTAGCCAAGATCTCGTTCCTGATCACGCTCTTGAAGCTCCGTTGTATGGATCGCCTCATCATCGCAAGTCTCTGGACTCTGATCGCTATAAACATCATGTTCATCATCAGTTCTACTTTGGGTAGTCTGTTTATGTGCTGGCCTATACAAAAAGCATGGCATGGGAGCATAGATGGTACATGCGGCGATCGCGCTGCGTATGTATTCGGCACGATCGGTGTGACGATCATTACCGATGTCCTCGTATCACTAATTCCAGCCTGGGTCCTCTACGATCTACGAATGCCTTTGAAGAACAAGGTGTTCGTGATAGGGTTTCTCTCGCTGCCACTTACCGTGACAGCTATTGGCTGCTACCGTCTACACAAATTCGTCGAGGTTATGGCGTTGCCCACGATTTACGTCGAGGACCCCTACAACATACGAAGCGTGTTGTCAAATGTAGAAGCCAATCTGGGTGTAATTGCCGCGTGTGGCCCAGCGATCAAGTGGATGCTGGTAAGATTCTCCCTGTGTACGAAGATGAGATCAGTGCTGACTGCCCATCTCTATTATCCAGAGCCGTTTCATTCCTTACTTCGATACCAGTCCGAGCAGGAATCCATTCCCGCCAAACTCATTCCCACGCTTCCAATGGCGCACACGAGAGAGTATGAAGGGGGCCGTCGACATCGAGCTGCAAGAGCATTACATCGATACCAATAACGATGATCAACACGACGCAAGCCGCGACCGGCAGTTCACAACCATCAGTAGCGACAGCCAGAAAACAGCGACGGCACAAGACAAGGGCGATGTGATGATGATGGAGGAACCAGGGCTGCACTTGCAAGTGAACAAGCCCAAGCCTTCTTTCCAACCTGGCAACTGAGGCTCTTACGTCTTTTCCTAAACTTCAAACGTGCATTCCTGTCGCAATCACGTTTGGTCTTTGCATAATGGCTGGTCTTTGCACCAAAGGAGGCGCTTCTTCTCTGCCGCTGTACTCCTGTTCATACCTAGGTAGCTTCAACCGCCTCTGAAGCATCTATCAGATGCAGTTCGTTTCCCTCCGTAGGGTCAACAACGTGCATCGAGACTCGCGAGTCGGAGGCGGCGTATACGATGTGTCTTTGCGACGAATCTGGAACGGGAGCTGGCATAGATGCAGGCTCAAATACATTGGTCTTGTAGGTATTACATCACACTTGATAAATCCATGATTTTGACTGCGTCAATCTTATGATCGCATTCAAACCACTTCAGCCTCGGGATTGAATGCCTAGTCATCGCATTGCGGCTCGAGCACAGCTACCATTTAATGACTTTGTTTATGGTGATGAGGGCATGGGTCTATCGAGCGCCAAGCAACGCAACACCGCTCATCATGTGTGCTGAGCGCGCCTGCTTTCATAAGTTCAAATGAACAGATCTGCACCGGAAGGTGCTATTTTACAAAATGTGTCTTGTTCTGCCTTCTTTTTTGGCTTGGATAGAAGAACGTCGCAGTCCTTCGGAAATGCGTCAAGCTCGTTCACTTCCTCGACTACGAGCGCCTTTGTCTTCGACCCTTTGTCATGACCTTCTTGCCTTTGACCCTTGGACGAGCGATGAGGCGGTCTTGCTGATTGCAACTACAATGGCGATCATGTGTTTGATCTCAGAGCGAACGTCTGGGGTTTTGACCTTGTCAAGAGGGCTTCAGTATGGAGGTTGGTGCGGCGAAGGGGATTTTAGCATACTGAACGATACCCTGGATTGGAGAAGGATGGCATCTTGCTCGTTCGTGTAGAAAGATTAGTGTGGGGAATGCGTGCTGATTAGTGCACGCTGTCTGTCAAGTTGCAGTATGGTAGTAGCAGAATATACTTTGACGGGACTGATAGAACTAGAAAAACACGAACGTTAGCTTGCAGAACGTCGACTAGAGCTACGGTAAGTGCGGAATGTCCAAAGGTGAAGATAAAAGCGGACACAATTGTGTTAATGTTCAACAATAACATCCAACTGGAAACTAGAATTACGCAGATCTGGAAAATACAGGAAAGTCGTCGAGACGGCAGACTCAACGGATGGTGAACCAAGGAGTTGAAGATCCAATGGGTTGAAGGTCACGGTCAGGATTGACATGAGTCACATCATGTTGATTCTACTATAGCAGCAAGGCGCAGCCTGCCTACGGGACCTCGAGTTTATTCTCACACGTACAATGCTATGTATGTGCAAATAGTCATCTCAGACCCTGTTACAACTCCTCTTTGTCAACGCCGTCAATGGAGACCAACTCCGACTCGAAGACTGTCATACGTCAGTCAATGTATTCGCCGTGTGTCCCAATAGCACTTACTCAAGACGCTGTTGGCGGGGATGGGGCCAGCACCCCGCGAGCCATAGGCCCACTCAGGCTGGATTGTGAGCTTCCTCTTTTCGCCGGGGCACATGTCTAGCAGGCCTTGGTCCCATCCCTTGATGACTTGACCGGTACCGACGGCGAAGGACAAGGGCTGGCCGCGGTTGTATGAGGCGTCGAATTCGCTGCCGTCGCTTTCGAGGGTGCCGCGGTAGTGGACGTTGACCTTGTCGCCGGCCTTGGTCTTGCGCACGCAGTTGGCTTCGGTGAGGACTTCGGTCTTGAGATGCTGTACAAGGCGTTAGCACGCCATGCATGCCGTATAGCTTCGCGGGGTGTTACTTGCCTCGTTGTTGACAATCTCGCCAGCGAGAGCGGCCGTAGCCAAGGCGAGGATGAGGGTGAGCTTCATGCTGACGTCTATGTATAGTGAATTTGCTTTTCGGACACTCCACGGATGTCTATGAAGCAACCTTGGAAGGCGACGTTGCAATGGCGGCAGGTGGAGTGTCTATGTGGGGGATACATGTGGCGCCAAGCGGTAATGTGGCCCAAACCATATGCAGGGACCTTGGGGACGTCATTGGATGTCGCTAGCGTCATTTTATAGCATCGAAAAGACTACGGACCCAATACCTACTTCTCTGTCTTTCGCGCTCAAGCCCGAGGGGTCTTTTCGCGACGGAACTTTGGTTGTGTACATTGGGGGGGAGATATTCGGTAACGGTGGCTCCCACCGGCACCTCATACAAGG